CTTCAGGTATTTTAACTGAAATACACCAATCTGGAATATTAGTACCTGCTCTTCAATCTGAGTGGTTAATAATGCACGTAAGTATGATGATATTGGGCTATGCAGCCCTTTTATGTGGATCGTTATTATCAGTAGCACTTCTAGTGATTACATTTCGAAAAAACAGAAAGCTTTTTTATAAGAGCAATGGTTTTTTAAACGAGTCATTTTTCTTGGGTGAAAATGTTGTCGAAAATACTTCGTTTTTTTGTGCTCAAAATTATTACAGGTCCCAATTGATTCAACAATTGGATTATTGGAGTTATCGGGTTATTAGTTTAGGATTTACTTTTTTAACCATAGGAATCCTTTCGGGAGCGGTATGGGCTAATGAAGCGTGGGGGTCCTATTGGAATTGGGATCCAAAAGAAACTTGGGCATTTATTACTTGGATCGTATTTGCAATTTATTTACATACTCGAACAAATAGAAATTTGCGGGGTCCAAATTCTGCAATTGTAGCGTCTATAGGTTTTCTTATAATTTGGATATGCTATTTTGGGGTCAATCTATTAGGAATAGGGTTACATAGTTATGGTTCTTTTCCATCAACATTTAATTGAATTCAAGACAAGTTATTACAAATACAAGAGCGGGCGACGCATTGTATGAACCAGCATGCGGACCGTGTGAATCAAATATTGTATTGATGATTCACACGGTTTTCTACCATATGTAGTTCAATTTCATTGTTTTTACTTAATTCTTAAGTTAAGAGAAGAAAAAAAGTCTTCTTTTTTTCATTGTCCAAGAATGTTTTTAAAAACAAACATAGGTTTTTTTATTTCAGTCATCCAATTATCTATAAAAAAAATTAGATAGAATAACTTCGACCTTGTCAACTGCTAATGAAAGAACGAAATCGGGGTATATACCAATACCTATTACGGGTAAAAAGATGGAGATCGAAAGAAATAACTCTCGCGGTCCAGAATCAAAAAAAGAATCCTTCGGGGCGTTAAATAGCTTGTATCCATAGAACATCTGGCGTGGCATAGATAATGAATAAATAGGAGTTAATATAATTCCAATTGCCATTACAAAAGTAATTAGTAGTTTTGGAATTAAAAGATATTTTTGGCCGGTAATTATTCCAAAAAATACTATCAATTCGGCAACAAAACCACTCATACCTGGTAATGCAAGGGAAGCCATCGAAAAGCTACTGAACATCGTGAACATTTTTGGCATTGGAATAGCTATTCCGCCCATTTCGTCAAGATAAACAAGGCGGATTCTATCATAAGTCGTTCCCGCCAAGAAAAAAAGTGCAGCACCAATAAATCCATGAGAGATTATTTGTAAAAGGGCTCCATTAAGTCCCGTATCGGTTAGAGAACTAATTCCTATAATTATGAAACCCATATGGGAGACAGAGGAATAGGCTATTCTTTTTTTTAAATTCCGTTGGCCAAGAGATGTTGAAGCTGCATAGATTATTTGTATTGTACCTATTATCATCAACCAAGGAGAAAATATAGAATGGGCATGAGGTAATAATTCCATATTGATTCGAATTAATCCATACGCTCCCATTTTTAATAAGATTCCGGCTAGAAGCATACAAGTACTGTAATGTGCTTCTCCATGGGTATCTGGTAACCATGTGTGTAGGGGGATAATGGGCGATTTGACAGCAAAAGCAATAAAAAATCCAATATAGAAGATTATTTCTAAAACCACAGGATATGACTGATTAACTGATGTTTCAAAATTTAATGTTGGTTCATTAGAACCATATAAAGCAACACCCAAAACTCCCATTAAGAGAAAAACAGAACCCCCCGCCGTGTACAAAATAAATTTTGTAGCTGAGTACAGACGTTTCTTTCCTCCCCACATGGCTAGAAGTAGATAAACAGGAATTAATTCTAACTCCCACATGATGAAAAAAAGTAAAAGGTCCCGAGACGAAAATGATCCAATTTGACCACTGTACATTGCTAACATGAGAAAATGGAATAATCTAGAATCTCGAGTAACTGGCCAAGCCGCTAAAGTCGCTAAAGTAGTGATAAATCCTGTTAATAAAATGGGTCCTATAGAAAGTCCATCTATTCCTAATCTCCAATGGAAATCAAAAAAATCGATCCATTTATAATCCTCTACTAGTTGGATTAATGGATCATCCGATTGGAAATGATAACAAAATGCATAAGTTGTTAGAAGGAGTTCTAAAATACATATACATATCGTATACCACCTAATTACCCTATTTCCTTTATGGGGAAGAAAGAAAATTAAAGAACCCGCAAATATCGGAAAAACGACAATTATTGTTAACCAAGGAAAATAATTCGTAGTAAAGACAAGATACACTTGGACCAAAAAAACCCGTGCTCAAAATATTTTTATTTTCGAGCACAGGTTTGTCGGTAAAAAAATTAAATGGATTCAAGTAGAGTTTTCTCGAACGTATCAATAAGCTAGACCCATACTGCGAGTTGTTTCATGCCATAAATAAACTCGGACACTCAAGAAATCTGTTGGACAGGCGGATTCACATCTCTTACAACCAACACAGTCCTCTGTTCGTGGAGCAGAAGCAATTTGTTTAGCCTTACAACCGTCCCAAGGTATCATTTCTAATACATCAGTGGGGCAGGCTCGGACACATTGAGTACATCCTATACACGTATCATAAATCTTTACTGAATGTGACATTGGGTCTATACGTTTTTGAATGTTATAAATTTTCGATCTAGTAAACTTAGAAACGAATCATATATTTAGATACCAGATGAATCAATGAGTTATCATGATTTTCTAATCAACCCCTTTCTGGATTGGTTTATGAGATATGAGAGAGGCCAAAATACTTTGATTTCTTATGTTTTGCAAACAAGATCATACTTTACGTAGTAAACATGCTAATTAAAATTGATTTCTCAATATTAGAATCTAGATGATTAATATTAATTATTCAACAAATTTGATTGGTTGATACGAGTTGATTTTCTGTTACGGTAAATTGATGAAACAATAGCCAGGCCAATGGCTGCTTCAGCGGCTGCAATAGCTATAACAAAAATTGAGAAAATGTCTCCCTTTAATTGACGATTATCAAAAAAATCAGAAAATGTTACAAAATTTATATTAACCGCATTCAATATAAGTTCAAGACACATAAGGGCTCTAACCATATTTCGACTTGTGATCAATCCATAGATACCGATAGAAAATAAATAGGCACTCAAAACAAGTACATGTTCGAGAATCATTAAACAACTCCTTATCAATCTCGACTCCTTTCAATATGAACAACAATTCAACTAATTTCATTGACTAGTATATAACAAGTATGGAACAAAGAAATAGATTGGTACTAGATTGACCTAAAGTCTTTCTATTTATCCAGCTAGAATTCAAATAGAATTCAAGGAAAATTAATGTGATAAGACAGAACAAAATTTTATTTGAATTCCAAGTTTTAATAGAAATTTTTTATTGACGAGCTACAGCAATTGCACCTATTAAAGCAACTAAAAGGATTATGGAAATAAGTTCAAATGGGAGAAAAAAATCTGTTGATAAATGAATTCCAATTTGTTGACTATTACTTAGAAAATCTTGCTCTATAATCTGGTTTGATCTTGTAGTCCAAATAATCCCGTACCATGACGTATCTGAAATAGTAGTAATTAGTGAAATAAAAAGACTTATACAAACCATCGAAGTAATTCCATCTCCTACGGTCCAAAGATGAAAATCCTTGTAATATTCTGAGCCATTCATGAACATCACAGCAAAAATGATTAAAACATTTATAGCTCCTACGTAAATAAGTAGCTGCGCAGCAGCTACAAAATAGGAGTTAGATAGAATATAGAATAACGATGTACAAATAAGAACCAATCCCAAGGAAAAGGCCGAATAAATTGGATTGGGAAGTAATACCACTCCTAGACCCCCTAATATAAGACCCGATCCTAGAAAGACTAAAAGAAAATCATGTATTGGTTCAGATAAATCCATTTTTTATAAAAAATCAAAAACGAAGAATTTCATGACTTTATTGACCTGACCAGGAAAAAAGAAGTTTTTCTATTTTTTATGATACTTTGAAATTGTTAATTGAATGAAAGTCTAATGGGTATGAATTGACGTAGATGCTTTTATTTTATTGGACCACTATCCATTCTTTATTCGTCGAAAGAGTAGTTTAAACCTATCTATTTTTGATATCATTTATCTACTTTGAAACCATTACTATTATAATATATAATATTGAAATCGGTTTTGTTTTCAATCTAAATTAAGCTAGGAGTCTCATTAAGCAACCACTAGTTTGAATTGCCCAAGCAAAAATCTCATTGTTTTAGATCCGAACTAAGCCTTCGTAATTCGTAATTTTTTTGAATCGAATTAAGGGTTTATTCATTGTTTATTTGAGGTAAATTCGAAATTGTTCGAATTGTGTAATCATCAATTACTGACATTGGTAAGCGACCCAAAGCGATTTGATTATAATTCAATTCGTGACGATCATAAGTAGAAAGTTCATATTCTTCGGTCATTGATAAACAATTTGTTGGGCAATACTCAACGCAATTACCACAAAATATACAGATTCCAAAATCAATACTGTAATTAAGCAATCGTTTCTTTCGAATATCAGTTTCCAACTTCCAATCAACAACGGGTAAATCTATAGGACATACACGCACACATACTTCACAAGCAATGCATTTATCAAATTCAAAGTGTATTCGGCCTCGGAAACGTTCCGATGTGATCAATTTTTCGTAGGGGTATTGAATAGTTACAGGTAAACGATTTGCGTGGGACAGGGTAATCATGAAACCTTGGCCGATGTATCTGGCGGCTCGTATTGTTTGTTGACCATAATTTATGAATTCAGTTATCATAGGGAGCATATGTTGAATATCTATAAAAAAGATTTTATGCTTGTTTCTTTCTCTTGTTTGAGACAAGTCGTGAATCTAGGATATTGTGGTCTTTTACAGTGAAAGAAGTTGGGACGAGGTTGTCAATAATAGATTACCTAGAGAAATCGGTAAAAGAAATTTCCACCCAAGATTTAATAGTTGGTCCATTCTCAGCCTCGGTAAAGTCCATCTTGTTGCAATAGGAATGAACAAAAACAAATAAGTTTTGGCTAATGTGATAAAGATACCAATTAGTGTTCCAAAGACTTTACCCCCTTTATTTATGCCAAATAGCTCAGGAACAAATATGTACGGAATAGAAAGATTCCAACCTCCCAAGTAAAGAACTGTTACAAATAATGAAGAAACTAGTAGATTCAGATATGAAGCAATGTAAAATAAACCAAATTTGATACCTGAATATTCGGTTTGATACCCTGCTACTAATTCTTCTTCTGCTTCTGGTAAATCAAAAGGTAATCTTTCACACTCGGCGAGAGAAGAAATTAGAAAAACGATAAACCCGATGGGTTGACGCCACAAATTCCACCCCCAAAAACCATATTTTGACTGCGCTTCCACTATATCAACTGTACTTGAACTGTTAGATAATCATAGTCGATGATAACATCACTGTGCCCATCGCTATTCCAGAACCGTACGTGAGATTTTCACCTCATACGGCTCCTCAGAGGTCACAAATAAACCTAAGGGCCCTTTCCTATTCTTTATCTTGATATGTTTGTCAGATAGAGTCAAAATCTATCCTAAGGTCCCAAATTAGACCAATGGAATTCTGTCTGCTATATTTAAAACTAATAAATAAGTGCTTCTGAATTTATCTCATCTTTTAAGAATTTTAATTTTTCTTTGTTGATTAATAACCTTATCATTAAATAAAAAAATGTGCTTTATAGCAATATCACATATACATTTCAACCTCGAATTTTCAATTACGAAAAAAATTAGAGAGTACATTAGTTCATGAATCATGACAAAAATTTTATCTCTCTAAATAGAAATCAAAATTGAATTATAGGAAAGAAAGAATAAAAACAAAAAAAGAAAAAAGGAAGAAAAAAAAAAGACATCCCTCCTTTTTGCTTTTGCAATTAGATTCTTTTCTTTCTATTTCGATTTTTTTATTTCATTCCTATTCTCCTTTCTCAGAAAAAGGGCCTTTAACCAAAGTAAAAGATTACTTCGTTCTTGATAGTTAGTTACTTACTCAGTGGATAGGAACATACTCTGGATCAGAATCATGGGGAGTACTTCTTGATCATTTCTACGAATGTAAAGCCCCAATTTGAATTCCTTTTATGTACAGAAATATCCTCTTGGATAACTTACATAATCTCAATTACTAATCCTTTGTGTATCTTGGTCTTCCTAACCATCCACTCATTTTTTGTTTCAAAAACCTCCCGTTGTGGAAATCCATCTATGGTAATAGACAGTAAAAAATCCATAGAGTTGGTCTTTTGAACCCGCTTCAAGCTATCATGACAATTCATGAATCTTGGGGTAAACAATCTCTCTTGCTTATGTTTACTTTTTTCACCATTTGATTCTTGTACATAGGAAATGAGACTCAACTTTTTTACTGCAAATTTAGAAGCCGTTTTCTTTCACTCATATAACTATCTGGTTTAGTTTATCAACTCAAATGCTGAAGAAAAATAAAAATATATATAGTCAATCAAATCTTTTTATCCTTGTTTCTAGAAAGAAAAGAATTTTGATAAATTTTAGGTCTCACCGAATCACACGTAGAGATATTGATAACACACATAGAGCTAATGGTATTTCATAACTAATTGATTGAGCAGCTGCCCGTAGACCACCTAAAAAGGAATATTTATTATTTGATCCATACCCCGACATAAGAAGTCCAACGGGAGCAATACTTGAAATGGCAATCCAAAAAAAAACACCAATACTAAGATCGGCTAGAACAAGGTGATCACCAAAAGGAATTACTGAATAACTTAGAAAGATAGATATTACTGCTATGGATGGCCCAATACTGAATAAACGAGTATCTCCTGTAGATGGAATAAGGTTCTCTTTCAAAAGTAGTTTTGTCCCATCTGCTAGAGCTTGAAGAATTCCTAAAGGGCCGGCATATTCAGGCCCGATACGTTGTTGTATTCCTGCAGATATTTCTCTTTCTAACCAAACAATTACTAGTACACCTATTGTGATTCCTAATACAAGAGTCACAATAGGGACAAGCATCCATATGATCCCATAGACTTCTTTTAAGGATTCCAATTTGGAAAAAGAATTGATAGTCTCTATTTCTGTTGTATCAATTATCATTTCAACGATCAACTTCTCCCATAATGATATCTATGCTACCTAGTATTGTCATAATATCAGCCAATTTCATTCTTTTAACTAACTGAGGAAGAATTTGCAAATTGATAAAACCTGGTGGGCGAATTTTCCATCTCCAAGGAAAAACGCTCTGGTCTCCTATCAGAAAAATCCCCAATTCTCCTTTTGGGGCTTCAACTCTCACATAAAGTTCTTGTTTCGACAATTCAAAAGTTGGAGAAGGCTTTTTACTAATAAACCGATATTCAAAATCATTCCATTCAGGATCTTTTAATCTGTCAAAACGTCGCATTTCTAAATTTTCGTAAGGCCCTCCTGGAATTCCTTCTAGAGCCTGTTGAATAATCTTTATGGATTCTGTCATTTCACCGATTCGTACTAAATAACGAGCTAATGAATCCCCTTCTCGTTGCCATTGAACCTGCCAATCAAATTCGTCGTAAGACTCATAATGATCAACTTTACGAAGATCCCATTCTATTCCGGAAGCTCGTAGCATTGGTCCCGATAAACCCCAATTTACTGCCTCGTCTCTCCCAATAATGCCTACGCCTTCAACTCGTTCTAAAAAAATAGGATTCCGGGTAATAAGTTTTTGATACTCAGCAACCCCTGTTAAAAAATAATCGCAAAAATCCAAACATTTATCTATCCAGCCATAGGGTAGATCGGCAGCCACTCCTCCAATACGAAAATAATTATGCATCATTCGCATACCGGTGGCAGCTTCGAATAGGTCATATATCAATTCTCTTTCTCGAAAAATATAGAAGAAAGGGGTCTGTGCACCAATATCCGCCATAAAAGGACCGAGCCATAACAAATGAGAAGCTATCCGACTCAACTCCAACATAATGACTCTGATATAGCTAGCCCTTTTAGGTACTTGAATATTGCCTAATTGTTCGGGTCCATTTATGGTTATTGCTTCTGTGAACATAGTAGCTAAATAATCCCAACGTGTTACATAAGGCAAATATTGTATAATTGTTCGGTTTTCCGCAATTTTCTCCATCCCTCTATGTAAATAACCCAATATTGGTTCGCAGTCGACAACATCTTCACCATCTAGAGTAACGATGAGTCGAAGAACACCGTGCATTGATGGGTGCTGAGGCCCCATATTGACTATCATGAGGTCTTTTCTTGTAGTTGGTGCAGTCATAAGTTTTTTAACGATTCATTCTTCCATGAATTACTGAAAGTGAAAAGAAGTTCATCAAAATTTAATCGAAACATATAAGTGAAAATGAAATAACTCTTCAAATTAATCAAATTAACGAGTTTTTGTCTCTCGAATGTCCAACTGATTAATTAATTCTTTATAACGTACTCTATTTTTTTTTGCCAAATAAGCTAGCAGTCGTTGACGTTTTCCCAAAATTTTCTTCAAACCTCTCTGAGATAAATAGTCTTTTTTGTGCAATTCTAAATGTGAAGTAAGTCTCCGTATCTTATTGGTGAAATTGAATACTTGAAATTCAACAGATCCTTTCTTTTCTTTTTGAAAAATAACTGAAATGACAGAATTTTTTACCATAAATGAATTTCCCCTTTCTTTATTTTACAGATATGGATTTTTTAGAATTTTATTGATCAGTAATAATAATGCCAGTAATTTGAACGTGGTATATAGACTTAATTTCTTTATGAACCTCTAATTTTAGCAATTCCAATAAATTAATCAAATTTCAAATTTGATTCAGATAGGAATCCAAAAAGGTGGTAGGTACGTTTTTTTCAGTCACAAAAGCGAATAATTGAAACCTAAAATCCTAAAATGAAGAAGATTCTGTTGATTCATTTCTAGATCTAATCAATACCTTATTTTATTGATTTAGTATTGTCTACTCGAATTAGATTCGAATGAGATGTAAAACAAGGCATGTTTGCATTTGTTTGCTTTCAGATACTCTATACGAGACAGGGTATATAGTACTATCAATTAATTTTCAATCGTGGATACATATGTATCCTTAAGATACTGAAACGGCTACCATTATTGGTATCAAACCAATAACGATTCATACAAGCTAAATCTTCTAATCGATAATTAGGCCAAAGAAAGAACTTAAATTTAATTAATTTATTTTTATCTTTATAAAGGGGTTTCCGTTCACCCAAAAATTGACTCCAGTTTTTTACATTGGTTTCGTTGCAAAATACTGAATTTCTATCGACGACATTCCAATTCAAAGAATTAAAAAAACTTCGAATTCTCAATTCTCTACGACGTCTAGACCATAAAATATTTTCAGGAACAAGCAAATCAAAATGAGTTTTTTCTGTATTTATTCTTTGAGTTTGAGGTTGCAGAATGAATTCGTCAAAATTCTTTTTATCAACATATCTTTGTTCTCGGTATCTTTGATTAGTTTGGTGTTTACTTTTATGAACCAATGAAATACCTATGGTTTGATACATAATAAATTGTCCATTATGTTTTACAGACAACCGAATAGGTTCGATAATCAATACCCCCTTCTTCATCAAGTCTGTAAGAGGTAAATTTGCCTGAATCAGCATTATATCCAAACTCATTTCTCTCCTTTGAATTGACGATATAGTAATTTTGGTTGGATTTATCAGTCGAAGCAGGAGACAATATACCTTGATATTTTCGAGCATTCTTTTATTCAAAGCATCGTTCCATCTCAATTGAAAAAGCAAATAACGTTTCAAGAACAAATCTAGTTCTGCTTCCGTGTTGCTTTTGTATTGTTTTTTATTTTGACCCTTTTTTGTGTCTGATTCCACGTAATCTTTTTCAAGATCGGTTTGATGTTTTGAAAAAACAGGGCTCAGATTTCCTTTGTTTTCTATATCTGATCCACGCTCTCTTTGACTTGGGGGTTCTTTTGTTTCTTGACTTCGATTCTTTATTTTTTTATTTGATGGTAGAAAAAAGTTTTGTTTTTGGTTTTTATTTTGAATAACATTTTCATTTGTATTCAAATTAAAAAGAAGGAATTTGCTTGGTATAATCCACGGTTTTATTTTATAGACATTATAAAGTAGTACAAATTCTGGGAAGAACCAAAATTCCAGATTCAATATGGGACGATTAAATATTTTTTCATTCATTCCCATCCAATCAAAAAAGACTTTTTTCGAATTTTTTTGAGTTTTTTCTGGATTTTGATGAGTTGTAAGATAAAAAACCCCTTTTTTCTCAATTTTATCAATTATTTGATAATTATTAATACCAATTTTAGTATTTGGATTACTGTTGGTATCGATCTTAACCCAGGCTTCAATATCTCCTTTTTGTCTAAGAGAAAAATGGATAATTTTCCAATCAAAATATTTTCTATCGAGATTTCTTTCTATATCTAGAATATTGACCTTTCTTAGATAATTATTGATATGAAGATTGCCGGGCATATCAACAAAGTTGTGTTTGGACGTGTTGGAATTATACGAAATTTCTAAGTTCTTCTTTACTTGAAAGGGTAATCTAGAAAAAAATGAGTCACTTTTATTTTCATAATTAATTGATTTATATGCTAAAAGACCATATCTATAACATTTTTTAAAATTATCTTTTTGGTTTGATAATGAATAGAGTTCCGAATCATTTTCTTTTTTGTAATGAATTAATTGGTCTTTTTCATATGAATTCCATTTGTTTAAGTTTCTATTTTGATTTTGAGCCATACAACTTTGATTAACCTTAGTTCGCCATTTTTTTGGCATTAATCTAGACCATCTAATCTGAGATAAATCGTATTGATAATGCCATCTTAACCAGTTTTTCCATTGATTGATTCTATAACTCTGAAGTTTCTTATGTTTTAATTCCGAATGAAATATTCCTAGTGTTTTAAAATAGTTCTTTATTTTAGTCTTAAGGAAGCAAGACGTTGTGTTATATTGAAGAACAGATCTAAATTTAGACAAATTAATAACTTGGGTTTGTGATAATTTGTAAAATACATATGCTTGTGACAAGTAGGATAAATCACAAAAAATATGTGAATTTTTCTTACTAATATTATAAAGTGACTTTTTTATAGTCGAAATAAAGATAAAGTGAATTTTTTTTTTATTAGTAATTTTTTCTTGATTTATTTCATTATTGGAGATGAATTTCTCAATCAATTTGTTTGTTGATTCAAGAAAGAGTTGTGTAGTAATTCTAGGAATATTAATGATAGATAAAAATAGATCGATGTATAATCTTTGAATGAATAATTTGAGAAAATAATGGAATTTCCATATTACTCGAGTATTTCTTCTTTGTAATATTTGGAAAAATTTTTTTGGCGATTCGAGTTTTTTAATATTATTTGTTTTATTAGGATTAATGTCTATTTCTGGAGTTACTTTCTTTTTATCTTTTGTAATTCTTTCTATTTGATTTTTGATTGTACTTGTTCTATCAGTCAAATCCTTCATTTTTGTTTCTATCAGTGAAGAATTTGGCCAATTTCCAGATTCAATTTGACTAAATGATTCGTTAATTATTTGATTACTAATTAGATAATCTTTTTCTTTTTTTGTTTCATTGGATTCCGATATTTCTTTGAATCTAAATAATACAATTGGATTTACTTTTGAAAGTTCTTTTTTTATTTTTTTTAGAAATCCAATACTTTTGATAAACCATTTTTTGGTTTCTTTTGAAACTCTTCTAAATAATTTTGTTTTTCCTTTGAAAATTTTTAGAGTTAGAAAATATTTCTTTTTTAATTTTCCAATTTTTTTTTCGAGTTCCTTAAAAATGGGCTCAAAAAAGGAAGGGCGCTTTCGGGGAGAACCAAAGGGAAGTTCAGCTTCCATTCCCCAAACTGTTAAAAAACAAAAATCATCTTTTTGTTTTTGCTTTTTCATTAGCTCTCCGCGGGAGGGGTACAGTTTAGATATATGCCAAGGTTTCAGACAAAAAGGAAATAAAATTTTGATCTGAATCCCGTCTCTCAACCAATCTTTGGGAAATTCTGTTTCTGATAATTGAACACCATTATAAGTACATTTAATCT